CATTTTTTTCCATCACCTACAGATTTTTCACAAAACGTCGTATGTAATTTTACATAACTGAATCATTTTCATTGAAATTGGGTCACATTTTGTTATGCTTAAAATGTTGACAACCACTGGCTATAGATTTCTCTAGACCAATCTCGACATGAGAGTCTTATTGATTTTTCTAGAACCCATGAGAAACACATTGCTAGTATATAAATGGTTAACAGGCTGCATGATGTGTCATTTTTGGATTTGGTGAGAGATTTGGGCCTTCCTAAGGATTCTTCAGAGATTTTGGAGTCCAGACTTCAGGCTAAGAACTTACTTTCTCCAGGGACATCATTTTTACTGGTACAGAAATCATGAGAAACAGTTTATACCATCCTTTTGGCAAGATGGTTCACTGGTTTATTACAACAATCTTGCTGAATTAATACCAATGCTAGGAGCTGCAGTCTATGAACCAAGTGAGTGGTGATTGTTCATTGATTCCTCCAAAATAAGTCTAAAAGGTGTTCTCCTTCATAATGGTAACATATATGTTCATTTTGCTCATTTGATTCACTTGAAGGAAACATAATAAGGTCAAATATAAAGAACATGGTTGGCTACTTTGTGGAAACTCAAAAGTCCTTTGTATGTTGTTGGGTCAACAATCTGGTTATACAAAGTTTCTATATTTTTTGTGTGAATGGGGCAACAGAACACAAAATCAGCACTGGATAAAGAAGCTGTGGCCATGCAGAGTCAACCTGATACCAGGATTGAAAACATTAAACATGAAAGTTTGGTTGACGCAAAGAAAGTCCTATTACTTCCACTTCACATAAAACTGGGCTTGATGAAGTAGTTTGTAAATGCCTTAGACAAAGATGGCAACTGTTTCAAGCATATATGTGGGAAATTCCAAGCTCTTTCAGAAGCGAAACTTATAGAAGGAATTTTTGGGCCTCATATTAGAAAATTGACTACGGATGAACAATGAGGAAAGTTGAAAAAAAAGCATGGAGTGCCCAAATTATGAAAATATTGTCGATAGCATACTCAATAAATTCAAAGAGTTTGGTTGAAATATGAGCTTGAAAGTTCATTTCTTACACTCAAATATTGACTATTTCCCTGAAAATCTCTGTGCCGTCAGCGTAGAGCAAAGGGAAAGGTTTCATCAAGACATTAGGGAAATGGAGAGGAGGTATCAGGGAAGGTGGAACATCAGCATGATGGCTGATTTCTGCTTGTCATTGAAACAAGATGTTCCAGATGCAATACATAAAAGAAAGATCATAACACATAGTTTTGAGACAGAGTCTTAGTAAATTTCACAAGAAAAATAAGGAAGATGCATATTCGTTTGACATCAGTGTTCTTCTCTTTTCTTCAGTTTGTTGGTATTTTTGTTAACAAACATAATTACTAAAAAATGCTCTTTGTGGCAAATGAAATAATAATTTGATCTAAGTAAGTTTTTTCTTCTTCCCGATTTGTAAAAAATCCTTACATGATAGAAAAAATAAATATTATTTTCGAAATCTGCATAGGTGAATTATGGAAAATTTGTTATTAAAACCAAAACAACTTTTATGAAGTTTGAATTCACAGGCCTGTGCTATGAATCTTAGCAAGAATATAAAACTTATCTAAATCTCTAGTTTTTCTTTTTGTACATTTCTTGTTAATACTATCTAAACAAAATAAGTTACCAAAACAGTTATTATTACTTAAACTTGTAGCAGTTGTACCATTATAATCTTGATTCAAACTATAAAGATATATATTTTTATATTTAAGAATGTAAAATTGTTTTTTTTTTGTAATTTGTTTATTTCTAAGTTAACTATTTCTAAAATTGTAATTACTATTGAATCAAAGGTATGAATTATATAAATTTGAAAATACAGATTTAAACAAAACTATAATATGTACAGTAAAAAATAATTTCTAAAATTATTGTTAAGGAAATAATTAGGATTACTTATTGAACATTCATATCTTATATAGGTAGTTTAATGTAGTTGTATCACATTCCCTATGCAAGATCTGCTACTGTATGAATCTCTTTAGAACCATTGAAGATCCAGATAGTAGTGTGGAAAGGGCAGATGATAGGAGATATACTAATAATTTTGGTTGGGCATAGTATACCTTAACATCTTGGTATTTATGTCAAAATATCATATTGGGGCTGGAATGCTAACTTCAAGGACAGTTTTGTTGTATCTATTATTTCATTTTGCTTTTTTTTTTATGAGCAACCACCTTACCACATCTGGCTGTAGACAGCAAAAGGTGGTAAGGATGTGAAATGTTGTGGGCTAGAGCACCCACATCTGCTCCATTTTTTATTTTATTTTTTCCTTAAGCATGTGAGGCTGACGACCTTGGGGTTAAAATGGATAGATGGTGTAACCCCAATGCTTACTTCTACCAATAAACCAGGGCACATTACCTAATGATCTACTTGATGATTTGTATTGTAGATGCAATTTTTGTTTTGTTTTTTCAAGTTAAAAAGTTTTTTTTTCATAAAATTACATTTATTTATGTATATGGATGTGTGTATATATATGGGTATGTTTACTTTTGAATTATCTGTTCTAAAGCATATAGCTCAGTTATCATACTCAGAATTGACTATTAATTTATTTCAGGAGATTGGCTTAAAACTATTGATGAAAAAGAAGTGACACATGAAAATTTGAATGAAGTGCTTGATGATATCAAAAGACCCAGTAAGGTGTGTATTGACTGAATAAGCAAGGTGAAAACCAGTGATGGATGCAAACTACTTTTTTTGTTGTTGTTAAACTTTGCTATTAATAGTAGTTGCAGTTTTGTTTTCCAAAAAATTAGTTTATCTAAACTGTTATCTACTTTTTATAGTCCATTACTTTTGCACTACTTTTTTACTTTACAGAAAAGCTGTTTTGTTAATTTTGTTAACTTTTTTTTCTAAATCTAAAAGAATTATTTTAAACAGGTATATCAGTGCTACAGTGAATATTCATTCAGATAATGTTTATTTCAGTTTCAGACTACAAATTAGATTCAGGATTAGATACAAATTAGATTTAAAAATAATGTTTATTTCAGTTTCAGACTACAAATTAGATTCAGGATTAGATACAAATTAGATTTAAAAAAAAAAGGTAATAAAACATTAATGGATTGAATTTCGAATAAAATCACTTTGTTCTCAGTCATCAAACATTTCACACCTTCTTGGAGTAAGAATTTATCCAACTGTACTGAGATAATCTTTTCATGTCTGCACTACTTGGAAGTGTACACTTATATTGTCTTGAAGCTTGCTGAATCAGTAGAAATGTTTGGATCAAATTCAGTGACACATCTCTTATGAGCATATGCAAGTCAGCTTCTAATACTTAACCTTCTGTGTGTCCATATAGGACTATTACCTAGTGGCTGAAAAAGTGACCTCAACAACAATGCAGTTTCTTGCTATTGGTTGCAGTTTATTGCATTTGCAGTGGTGAAGGAAGTTTTGTTCCAAACAAGTACTAGTGTTAAAAAAGTAGTGAACTAACATAATTAAACTATTTGTTTTACTAATTTAGCTATACGATTTAATTATTTATTTAATTAAAATGAAATTAACTATAGGCTTAACTACTGAAAAATTAGTGTAACTATACACTTCAGTATAGAACAACCACCAACCACCATTGGGAAAAATAATTAGTAAAAATTAGAGGTGGCTGAATGAATAAGGAAGAAATCTTTATTTGTTACCATGTTAAACTTATAATAAGATTGTCTTTGTTACCCATTCAAGCTGCCTCTAAACTTTATTAGTGTCAAAATGGTTTCTAAATCATCATGTTAGAGAAATGTTTGTGTGGAGAGTACCTAATTTTTAACATTAAAATGTTTTTGGGTTGTCAGAAAGTAAAAGGTTTACAAGCATTTTTCTGTATGTTGACCTCACAAATTTGTAATATGCTTTTTGTGCATGTGTGTGTGTAATTGATTTTCACATTCAATTATTACATCTGATTAATTAAAGAAGAGTGAAGCTTATCAATTATACGAGGTACTGTGGTTAGTAAATTTTATGTTGTTTGTGGCCACTAAGTTATATTTTCTGAAACGATAATCCCTAGGTGTTGAATTGTGAAGTCTTAAGTAACACATCAGGTTGCAAGGATTAGTATCAAGTACATCTTACAACTTTTACTATTTTTTAAAAATCTAGTCTTTACTTTTGGTATTGCCTTGGTGACTGCTAAAGCACTAACTTATTTTATCTTTCTTTTTTTTGTTTGGTCATATTTTACAAATGAAATAAACTTTCAGCAGTTTGTTTTCATAGCAGGAGTTTAACTGGTTTCTTGAGACTAAACTTAAGTGATTATGAACACTTATTTCTTGGTCTCGCACATTATAGGGCCTGAAGATGCAGTTATTTGTTGTATGATGTTTTGATAAATTTCTTAGATTATATATATAATTTTAATACTTATAATTTAGAAGGCACGTTTCAGAAACTTTTTAGTAGTATAAATTGTTTATATGATTAAGTCATGGGCTTTATTTTAGATAATTGAAAATATCATACATTCAAGAAGGTTTAAAATATAACTTATAACCTCGGAGACATTTGAAGAGAGGAAGAAATGAGATAGCCCAAATTCTAAATGTAACATAGTTAGAATTACTTTGTGCTATACATAGACAGTTTCTTAGCCCATATCCACCACTAGATGATATAAGATTGTACAAAAACTGACAATAAAGAAGAGTATAGAAGAGTACAGGTAAAAATGTTACAAGAATGTAGAACTTAAAGAAAACAATTCTTTAAACAAATTACAAGACAGTTCCCAATCATTCATCCAGTTTCTAATGGTATATGTAATAATCTAATGAAGATGTCACTTATAACTTGTCATGTAAATCAGAATATAACAAATGCTACACATTTTTAGCATGGAGACTATTTTCAGAAAACAAAGTGTGTGTTTATATATGCAGAAGTTGGCAGTCTGGTACATTTACAATGTGAGTGTCAAAGGTTTTGTTGTAGAAACATTTCACTACGTGTACTCCATTGTATAAAAGTATCGCCAAACAGTATGAATTGAAAAGTTTAAGCTGCTAAAATTATATATTAAAAGGATTTTCTTCTTGAAGCCTGATTAAATCCAAGAATTTAATTTGTAAAAATCCTATTGTTCAACCACAGGTCTTCTGTTTAATGTTTTGTTAATTGAAGAATGAAAGAGTGGTAAAAATTATATTGCATCCTCATTCTTCATTACTTTCACACAATGATTTTAGACAGACTGAAATCAGCTTTTGTCCAAGTTGTAGTCAAAACAGAGATCCATGGCATAACTGGTTATAAATTTGATACCACAAATTTTGAGAAACAAAGGGCCTGTGGTGACAACACGTAATCAATCATTAAGTTAAGAGTGCTTGGAAATTGGTGTAGTTGAAAACTTTTTGATTTCAACCTCTAAACATACTTGAAATTAGCCAAGTATAAGGAAAAAACAATTATCACCAAATAAAACAGTTATTTAGGGCTGGCTGCTGAACTTGAAAGAAGGAACCAAACGAGATAGAGATGGAAGTGGACATATCACTTTATCGGCTAATGATTAAATAGCAGACTAGGCTGTCTTGACTTTACATGGATAATAAAATCCTTGCATTACTGGCTTCCCCATTTTGTCTATCAAAAGCTTAGTGTTTGAATAGAATCTCAGCTTTCATCTTATACCTTTCCTTTAGTTAACTTAAGAATATTACTTTTATGATAAATTTACAATAAAGCAACATTTTACAGTTGGAAATTTGGGTTCTATTTGTTTTGCCAATGAGGAAGGCAGTAATGTAGTGATTTTATCCTCCATGTAAAGTCGAGACAGCTTAGTCTGCTATGTGATCATTAGCTGGATCAAGTGATATGTCCACTTCCATCCCTTTCTTTTTTGGTTTCTTTTTTCAGGTTGGGTAGCCAGCATTACATAGCTTTATTATTTAGAAATATATTTTTTCTACTACTTGTTTGTTTACATTTTTTTATAAGATGGTGTACATGGGTTACTAGGTTATAGAGTGTATTCTAAAGCTTTATAAATTTTGCATATAATTATAATAATAAAATAGGTAGTCAAAGATCATGAAGACTGTTTTGCTCTATCAAATGATGATAAAATTAAAGTTACTGCTAGAACTAAGTAGATGCTAGGCCTGTTGAAGAAAGATGATGATGAAAAAAAATATGAAATCTCAGTTTTGGCTTTTTTTGTTGTCTTTTAACTTTGGGATGCTCTGGATAGCTGAAAAGCGGCATATACAGCAGAGATAGAGTGACTATGCCAGGTAGCTCTTCATATCTAGCTTTTGATGACCTGTAAAGAAGAAAATCCAGATGATTTTTGTAATGCTTTAATATAGGCAACCGTGCCATCTCCACGTAGAAAGTGCTAGTGCACTCTCTGATAAAATCTTGAAAATTAGGATAGCAAATGGCTTTAAACCTATTTATTATCAGTCAAACCTTCAGAGCATTAGTATGTTTTGCTCATTGTTAGTTGTGATTGTAAGAGAATCTCCATGTAGTGCTGTTATGCCTGAAATTTTACTTCATTATCCAGGTTATAGTATGGTGATGGGCTCTTAACTGAAGCATGAAACTTAGACATAATTTGTCAAATAGACATACCATATGCTAAGATAAGAAATCATATGTTACTATTGTGTGTCTAATCTATGAAGAACAATAGTAAAAATTTCAATTTTGTTTTATATTTTATTACTGAGCCTAAAAATACAGAAGCATAAAGTGCAGTTTTATTTCTAAATGAAAATGAAAGAAGAATTTTGTGAACTGTATGGAGAATTATTTTTAAGACTAACTTAAGTTTGTTATTTGAGAAGATATAAATAGATTAATTGGAAAAAAGCATTTTTATAAAAAAAATTAAATACAAATTTTAAGTGTTTTTGAACATATAACAGTTGTGTCTACGTTGCTTACAGCATTTAAATAACATCAGAAAGTACTGATATTATTTAAATGCAGTAAGCAATGTAGAGATTTTAACACGAAATTTTATGGTTCAATCCCTGTAATTAACAGACTAAAGATAGCCCATTGTGCATGTTTGCATTAAAATAAACATTTCACTTTTTAAAGAAAATCATTGAGAAATATTAACCATGGCTAAAAAAACATTTATTACTTTAGTAAGTAAACTTCATTATCTGTTAAGTTGTATTGTTATGCCTATTGTGCAGAGTCATAGGTGTTTTGTACACTTTTAATTGGGACTAGTATGGCATGTCCTGGTGGTTAGGGTACTTGACTCATAATATGTAGGTCGCAGGTTCAAATCCCGTCACCGAACATACTCTTTCTTTCAAACTTAGGGCATAATATTGTTACAGTCAATCCCATTATTCTATAGCCCAAGAGTTAGTGGTGGTTGGCGTTGACTAGCTGCCTTCCTTCTATTCCTTCTAGTCTATCACTGCTAAATTTGGGATAGCTAGCGCAAATAGACCCTGTGTAGCTAGTATTGCGCGAAATACAAAACAAAAATCCTTATTCTATCATTTTCGCGTACGTCATTTAAGGTACGCTTTCTTGCAGGCATAATGTGTTAGGGAAATAAATCCTGGTCTATTTGAAAAAAAAAATTACTCGGTCAGACAGCCAAACTCGTGCAGCTGTAACTTTATTTAATAAAGGTACTCGTAAAGTAAACAATAAAGTAATGGAATTTATAATGGTGTACAGAGTATGAAACAGTTATGAGCGTTCAGTGATTGACACGGTTTTACGAGTTGAAACAAAGAAACTCACGAAATAAATGCAAAGTTGTAATGAAGGCAAACTTAGCCGGATATGCAGAAACGTCTAAATGCGGGCAAACTTTTTAATGCGACGAGTATTGTACACGATGGCTCAATGTCGTTGTCATCACGTGACGAGTGGCTTCGTTCTCAACCTTAGTTTTTTATTTGCAAAGTATTTCACACAAACAACACCTAACCAGCGTGTAAGTTCCTAAAAAAAATAACATTACACTAAATACAATTTCTATTGGATTGCTTGACTTATCTTGGACTAAAATATGCATACGTAGTTCGTTCAAAACCATATGCTTATCATTTTGTGAACATAAGCAAACAATGGATAAGATGATTCTGAATTGAAAAGCCAATATGCATTCCGGACTCCTCGGACAAAGGCCTTTCTAACGATACGAGATTTGTAGCGTTTGATCGAGAAATTGCAAAAAAAAACAACAACAACAAACGTAACCGTATTATTTATGTAGATACCGTGTAGCTTTTAGGTTGTAATAGATTATTTTCGTTTTCACCTACAAAACATATTCGATAATTCACATTCTAAAAAGAGGTAGGTAATGTTCACGAACACCTTTTCATTCAGCACTTTTGTTTAAGTTCTTATTTCAACTATCGTGCCTTATTGGCATCGCATGATATATGCTTTCAATACGTGGAACATAGATTGAAGTAAAAGGTGGATTTAGAATGTTCCAGACGATTTTGTGTGTGACAGTGGATTTGAAAGAAGATCACTGTAAAGATTTAAAATATTTATTGCTTTATCCATCTTTATCATCTAGAAAGAGTTTTATTGTAATGCCTGTTATGCAGAGTTGTGTGTGTGTGTGTTTGGTACACTTTAATTAGGACAGGTGTGTAACTTAATAGCAGATATCTCCTTGTTTCCGGTGTCGAACAAAGATGCAAGCAGACTTCTATGAAAAACTATTGTTGAAATGTTCAACTTCAAAGATGCTTGCATACCTGATATTATGAATCACCATTGATTGCAGTACCTTACCGTAGCTGATTAAGGTAAATTTATCATATGTGTTTACAAATTATGATGTACGCATGTAGTACACATCTTTGCAATGTAAACAATTGCACTGTTTGATAGTATTACACGCTAGAAACGTGGCTCCATCTATTGGACACGTAATCAGTATCGGTATAATTTAGTTTTCGTGGGGGTATAGATAAGTTGAGGTACTAAAGAATCACCCAAAATTTGCATTAGCTAAATGATTCAACTTCTCTAACTCAATATCTCCCCTCCAGTGGCACAGCGGCATATCTGCGGACTTTTAACGTTAAAATCCGGGTTTCTACACCCGTCGTTGGCAGAGCACAGATAGTCCATTGTGTAGCTTTTTGCTTAATTACAAACAAACAAACTCAATATCATACTGTAGAAGTATAGCTTTATAATGTATTTTCCTCATTCGACTGTTAAGTCAACATCCAGTGTTATTTAACACAAAAGTGGGCGGGGCATGGTCTAGTGGTTAGCCTGAGCGTCTGTGAATCCAAGGATTCGTGATTCGCGACACTTTGCCACAAAAACGCATTCCGCACGTTTGTGGCGTAGGTGACGATCAGGTCTCACTATTCGATCAGACAATACTACCCCAAGAGTTGGCAGTGAGTGCTGTTCTGTAGCTATCTTCCCTGTACTCTATCAGTTCAAAATTGGAGACCGTAAGCGCAGATAGCCGTAAAGTAGCTTTTCGCGAATATCCGATAATAAACAACTAACTGTATCTTACGTTATGCAGTACCTTAAAGTTTATACTCTAAAACAGGTTCAGATTTAATATACCCTATCAACGCCGTTCACGTCAATTGTTTATTTATTATTCAAAGGTTAGACCTGTGGTAGAGCTTTGGATTTCGGAGCTAGCAAGCCAGGTTGAAATTTATATGATATTTCAAAATATTCTCAGCAATTTAAGCTGAGGGTATGTTATAAGAGTAATAGTCAATCCCTTAATGTATGGTGAGTGAGTGGTGGAATGCTGCTGACTGGCTCCCTTACATCTGGTCAGTACTAAGAAATTAGGGACTGTGGCAGATAGCCTTAGTAGCTTTGTCGTAAATACAAATACCGATTAAACTGACTGGGTATTGTGAGAGTCCGTACAATTGTCTACGTCCGCTTCATGACCAGTCATTAGCAGAGTAATTGTTTTAATATTAAATAACAAACATAGATTTCAATTACCGATCCTATTGTATCTTTTCCGTGTAGAATATTCGTGATCACTATTTCGACTTTTGTGCTGCAGTGCTGTTTTTTAGCCAAAAAGACTTTAAAGTATAACACTTGCAATTTTTTCTTTCCTTTCCGGGAGGTTTTGCAAAGCCCTTTCATTACGAGGACAACATTTTTCTAAGTTCTACTTTACAAAATTTAGTGCATTGAGAACGTTATAAGGCCATTTAGCGACTTCACAATATATACAGAATGCAGGATTGAGATCTCTGTATTCTGTCGTATCTAGAAAAATAAGGATTAAACAAGATTTTGCACTTGATGTCTTGAAGAAATGGAGCCAAGACTTCTTTGTGTGCTACCCATATAACTTAGAAGTGTGCGGAATGGGCAACTAAGCCTTTTCTTGACAATAGAGGATTTGTTTTTTTTTCGTTGATTGAAAGTTCTCTCAAAAAACAAGTAAAACAAATTTAGTAAGAAGTTCCTTTTCGTAAAAATCCCACTTAAATATTTATTTATTTTCATGGTAGCAGATAGTTTTAACTTTTATATTTGTTTTATACAAAAAGAGCCCATGCTTCTTTCAGAGAGCCAAACGTAACATAGTGGTTAGTGTACTTTGGATTGTGAATCCGAGGGTTTGTGGTTCGCCGCCTGTTGTCGCAAAAACGCGCACCACTCTTTGGAGCCTCAGGTTCGCTATAACTCAAATCCCACTATTCGGTCAGACAAGAGTAATCGAAGAACTTGCGATAGGTACTATTGACTAGCTGCCTTCCCTCTGTTCTAGCAGGTGATAATTAAGAAGTTCTATACGCGAAATTTTGAAGCAAAGCTTGTTACAACAGACTTCTGCTTTATCTCCTTCTAGTAGATATCATGAAGATCAGCGAATTCGTACTTAAGTGACTGAAGATTCATATTCAGCCGCTAATAAAGTTGCAAAGTGTGCCAAGTAAAGGAATCGCTTATAACATTTGCAAATGAATGAGAAACCTTCGATATCATATACTCAACATCTTACAAAATTCAAAGATATTCTTAAAGAAATGCTCACTTTATTTTAAAAGAATTAGCTCAAGTAATTACAAATAAACATATAATCCTCTAAATTAGGTTGCTTAGTAATTTTTACATTTATTTTTAAGTTTTATTCTGTATCTCCGCATCTCTTTATTGTTCGAGTATTGTTATCTCACACACTCAAATCGCGGGACAGATGGTTAGGGCGCTCGACTCGCAATCTGCGGGTCGCAGGTTCGAATCCCCGTTACACCAAACATGCTCGCCCTTTCAGCCGTGGGGGCGTTATAATATGACGGTCAATCCCACTATTCGTTGGTAAAAGAGTGGCACAAGAGCTGGCGGTGGGTGGTGATGACTAGCTGCCTTTTCTCTAGTCTTACACTGCTAAGTTAGGGACGGCTAGCGCAGATAAGCCATCGTGTAGCTTTGCGCGAAATTCAAAACAAACAACAGGCAGTTGCCGCTCTTAGATACTGTGTGAGCGTTTTAAGGGTTATTGCCAAATCCTACTGTATTCGGTCAGACAGGAGTTGGCGATGTGTGTTATTGACTAGCTGCCTTCCGTCTGGTTTGTCAATTAAAAATTAAAGAAGGCTAGTTCAGATAGCCCTTGAACTGTTGTACACAAAATTCAACAAATAAACAATACCTCCTACAAAGAGAGTAGTTATACATGACGTGAAGTTTTCGTTTTTAAATGAGCCTTTATGTCTGAAAAAACTTTGTCGACATCTATAAGAGTTAACTAAAAATATTTCCTTCTTTATAGCTATGAACTCATTACAAAAGCATTCAAACAATCCCAATATCTGTAGCTCCTATCCGACTTTACTGTTCAATTACTATTGTTCCGAGTCTGTTCTTATCAGATTTTAGTGTTAAATTACTATTGTTCTGATATGACTTTAGTGTTAAATTACTATTGTTCTGATATGACTTTAGTGTTAAATTACCATTGTTCTGCATTGTCTGCTTCGGAAAGAGTGTTACGACAAGGCTTTTGCCAGACTTCACAAATAATGTATAAATATATACATATATGTATGTGTGTGTATTTGCTTGCGCTCTAACCTTGCATACTAATGCTCCAACCAACGTTATTTGAGTACACTTTCACTGTGTATTAAACATCGCATTATTGTTGTTTTAAGTATCCTTCAAGTTAAAACATGTTGTGAAATTAAAGGAAAGATCGAAGCCATGTGGAGATATTTTTAACATCTTCCATTAAATATCAGTATCATATACAATTTATATGCATGTCCGGAAATTAAGCTAAAAAAAAAACACCCCAGAAATTTGACGGTGGGTGTCCTGTAACTGGAAAATTGACACGAATGCTTCGAAAGTAAATTCAAGCATTCATATTTTCAATGATATCGTATAGTTTAAATAATGTACAACGATAATCTATTAATTGAGTTTCATTTATATATTTGGGTCATTTTAATTCATTACACGGAAGTAAACAAAACATCTTTTTCTCTTTATGCAGGTTAAGCTTTTAGTTCAACGTTTCGCTGGACATTCTAGCCCCCAAACGGTAAAGACTGATCACCACGGGGTAAGTACTATGTTTTCCTTTCGTCTTTTAAGATTTAACTTTTATTAACTTTAGTCAAAATGATACGATTTATCGAAACTTTGTTATGAACATTTTCTGACTTGCTGCATAGAGACCGAGGAGATCGATATGTGTGTGCTTATATAATCACAATAAGCAGCCAGCATGGTCTGGTGGTTATGGCGTTCCACTCGTAATTTGCAGGTCTGGGGTTCGATTCCTATTACCGAACATGCTCGACCTTTCAGCCGAAAGTGTCGGTCAATCCCAGTAGTTGGTGGGTAATCAACTAACTGTCGATCACATCTAAATTAGGGACAATTAACCTTGAGTAACTTTGCACAAAATTCAATAAACAAAATTACAAGAAGCACATGTTACGACATCTTATATATAGAGATTTTTTCTTTTTACTTTGAAGTGCCTTCAAGCTACACATTCTAGCTACTTCAACAATACATGTGTGCCATCAGAAAACTATATTTAATAACTTTTCTTGGAAAACAATTACCTAAGCTATTTTGAAAACAGGAAAGTAGCCTGGAATGTCACAAAGCACCTGTATTTTGTTTTTTAACAGATCAATCAAATATGAGAGAAAATAAATTGAAAATGAATGCCGAACCAGATATTTGACTGTATGTTTAGATGTTTATAGAGTATATATATATATTAATGTGTATAGATAATTAGGGTATCTGTATATATATATATATATATTTTGCTGTGTGTATAGATGTTTATAGAGTATATATATATATATATATATTTATTTATTTTCGCCTGTTTTAGCTAATATATTTATGATCAAGATAGAATTAATTTATGTTTCCACTTCCCCTACATCCTACAGCTTTCTATGTTCGTTATCTGAATGAAATTTTTACGGATTTTAAAGATCCAAATTGTGTTGAAAGTTTTCTTCCAAATTTGAATCGCTAATCCATTTCAGTGTGTTATGTTTAAAGTCGAAAATAAAGATGATGACATTTGATTTTTTAAATCTTTTATTTAAAAAAAGCAATGAATTTTACACACCTATTTTTTTCGTAAGAATACGCACACAAGAGTTTTTCATCACTAAAATTCCTTCCACGATCCAAAACCAGGGATCATTAAACTTTTTCATACGTGTAAAAAATATTTGTTCCCCTCAACATACTTAAATCTAAACTTTTAGCACACAATAAGTAGCCCTTCCCCAGTGACACTGCGGACTTACAACGCTAGAAACCGAGTTTCGATACCCGTGGTGGGCAGAGCACAGATAACCCATTGTGTAGCTTTGTGCTTAATTCAAAACAAACAAACACAATAAGTATCTTTATACAGTGGTAAATAAAACTATTATCCCTAGAAAAATAAGAAATTCAATTAAAGATCGAAGAGACAAACAATAGGAATTTAGAAAACCAAACGACCTCTTTATTATGTGTTGCTGTACATTCGTAAATTTTCACATGTTATCCGGAAAATGTGGTCAAAAATTGTTATTGTGATGTGGATTTCAATAATAAATAAACTTAGTATTCCGAAAATTGTTTACTTTGGAAATTTCGGAATACTCAGTTTATTTCTTATATCTGCTGTTGTGCTGTTATTATATAATGTGAAAAACTGAATAGTGGCTAATGACACATTTTCTTCACTTCACCTATCCAGTGTATAGGTTTTTCTCATAGTGAATATAAAGCACGTTCACTCCAACAGTATGTTTGATACTTTTCACTATGGTATAGGTCC